CTGAGGGACACCACTCGTCACCGGTCTCCATCCGGACATTGAGCCATTGACCACTACCCTCTGGATGCAGCCATCCAGCCAGTTCCTTATCCACCGAACAGTCCACCCATCAAATCCATAGCTTTCCAATTTAGAGAGAAGGATGTTGTGGGGGACCGTGTCAAAGGCTTTGCAGAAGTCCAGATAGATGACGTCTGTTGGTTTTCCCTTGTCCACTGATGCTGTCACTCCATCATAGAAAGCCACTAGGTTCGTCAGGCAGGACTTGCCCTTGGTGAAGCCATGCTGGCTATCTCGAATTACCTCCCTGGCCTCCATGTGCCTTAGCATAGCTTCTAAGAGGATCTGTTCCATGATCTTCCCGGGCACAGAGGTGAGGCTGACAGGTCGGTAGTTCCCAGGGTCTTCCTTTCTACCCTTTTTGAAAATGGGCACAATGTTTCCCTTTTTCCAATCACCAGGGACTTCACCTGACTGCCATGACTTTTCAAATATCCTGGAGAGGGGCTTGGAGACTACATCGGCCAATTCCCTCAGGAATGTTTCTCTGCCCTTTGGTTTGTCCCTCAGCCCACAGCTATTGTCACCAGGTGGGCTGGAATGAAAGGTATTGCCCCAGGTAACAGGCAAGGGGAAATGGCCTCAAGTTGTGCCAGGGCAGGTTTAGGTTGGACATAGGAAAAATTCCTTCCCCAAAAGGGTTGTCAAGCACTGGAAGGGGCTGCCCAGGGAAGGGGTTGAGTCCCCACCCCTGGGGGGATTTAACAGCCGGGCAGAGGCGGTGCTGAGGGCCGGGGTTTGGGGGTGGGATGGCAGGGGTAGGGGAACGGTTGGGCTTGATGAACCTAAAGGTCTTTTCTAACCTAAACAATTCTGTGATTCTATGAAAATCAATCACTTGGCACAGTACAGGTACAGAACCATGATGACTAAACCCATAAAACTCTGGTAAAAACAAGAAGCTCAGGTGGTGGCCTGGGTGACAGTGCAGGCAAGGGAGATCCTGGGAAGTGGGAAAAGCAGACGGGAGGATCGTGGTCCTCCTGCACTTGCCTTGGGAGACACCCCCCGGATGATGGGAGCCCTTTCCTGGACAACAGGTTGTAACTCCGAAAGTTTTTTACTTTCCAAAGGACAGGAAAGGAAAAAAGCCCTCTCACCTATAGAAGACTCCTGCCCTGTTCTGTAACACAACTTGGTTAACAAATGCTTCTTAGGCATTTAATCTCATCATGTGTCTTCAAAGCGCGACTCACCACCCCTGGGTTATACTTTAGTTTCTCTTTCTAAAAGCAGTGGCAGCGTGTTTGTTAGCCTTGGATTTGAGGCAGTGGGAAAGGGACAGACAACTTCCCGCTGTGTAAGAGGCAGGGAGATGGCTGGGTGAACACGGGCACCCCTGCCACCTGCAGGTGGGATGATCTCCCCTGCCAAGGCTGCGTGCCTCCTCCTGGCTTTTCCCAACAGTCTCCCGGTTGGTGGGATGCTCTGAGGTCCTTTCCTTCTGGTTTTTCCTCTGCCCTTCCACCTCTGCCTGCCTCAGCCAGCCACAGCTCTTCAACCTACAGGGAGGTGCTCTCCTGGTGCGCTTGGCTCTTCCTGAGGAAAGCTTTCAGCAGCTCCACTGCCGCGGTTTGGCTCAACTGGAGGCTTCGTACAGCGAGATGCATCTCTGCTAACTGCAAGCATCCCAGACAGATGTCTGCTGCCCAGGTCCCACCCAGAATGAACGAGGAGGTCTTGGCATTGTCAACCAATGGCTCATCCCAACTATTTGGAGCCCAGCTCTGGAGCCCTCAGCACAAGAAGGACATGGAACTGTTGGAACGGGTCCAGAGGAGGGCTACAAAAATGATCCGAGGGCTGGAGCACCTCTCCTATGAGGACAGGCTGAGAGAGTTGGGCTTGTTCAGTCTGGAGAAAAGGAGGCTACGGGGAGACCTGATTGCGGCCTTCCAGTACCTAAAGGGGGCCTATAGGAAAGATGGGGAACGTCTTTTTCATAGGGCCAGCTGTGTTAGGACAAGGGGAAATGGTTTTAAACTAGAACAGGGTAGGTTCAGGCTAGAGGTAAGGAAGAAATTTTTTACAATGAGAGTGGTAAAACACTGGAACAGGTTGCCCAGAGAGGTAGTGGAGGCCCCATCCCTGGAAACATTCAAGGCCAGGTTGGATGGGGCTCTGAGCAATCTGATCTAGTTAGCAGTGTCCCTGCTCACTGCAGGGGGGTTGGACTAGATGACCACTAGTGGTCCCTTCCAACCCTAAACATTCTATGCTTCTATGCTTCTATGATTCTATTTCAAGCACCTACTTTAGGATGAGGTGCATCATGCCTTGGAGGTACCTGTCCTCCTCCTAGACAAGACAGAGGCTTTGGAATGAAAGGAGATGAGCCATTTTCTGACAAAAATGTCAGCCTTACTCTGTTCGCCAGTGACAAACCGTGCAGTGAAGCCCCGTTGCTCTGTATTCAGCAAACTTTGGGATCAGAGTTACCGTGTCAGAAACAACAAAAAAAGGAAATCCCAATTTTATTTAGGAGTAGCAACAAAATGATGCCATAGGGAGGTAACTAGAAAAAGATCAGTACAATCAGGACTTTGGAGCGTATGGTTGGTCACTGAAACAGCCATGCAGAGGAGCTGCTCATCTCCTACTGAGGGTGGCTGGGTTCAGGATGGAGGCAGTGAAAGCCTTTGTCTTGATGCTGAAGCTGGGGAACCAAAGGATGGCCCCAGTCGCCGCCAGCCCACTCAGGCAGATGAGCAGTGTGATGCTCCTAATTTCTAGAAAATTTAGTGGCCGATACATCTGGTTATGCTAATTTTCACATTTCAGGCTCTTTTAGGTCATGGACACAGAGGTGTGTGTTCAGTGGAGTTGCTATGAAATCTGTGCTGTGAGCAAAGGGAATACGGGAATTAGTGTCTCTGGCTTGCTGAGACCATCTGATCTGGTAATCCCCTGCCTCGCTTCACGGCATGGCTTGGAGCCGTGTTTGGGGCGTGTTTGGTGAGCTGTGCCAGAGGTTCCCTCTGCAGCTGACATTTGCCCGTTACGCTTCTCTCTGGTATCAGAGAGGTGATCTTTGGCACCAGACATCCTGAGTTGCACTGTGCTATCTCACTCTTTGCCCTGAAATATTTCCTTTCCAAAATCGGTGCTTTTTCTGGAGACATAGCTCCCCTCATCTCCCCTTCCAAGTTTGGAGGACAGGGTATCATAAGCCTCCTTTGGGATGCTTTTGTCCCTGCAGACAATACTTTTGTGGGAATGTTGAAAAGTGAAATATGTCTTAAAATCCTGGCTTGGTTTTCCTGTAGGGACTGATAGGAGCAGGGCTGGAGCAGATTCCCTGCCCCCTTGCAGGGACGCTTACTGTGCTGTCCGGTCTCTGAGAGACGCCAGCAGGGAGGTGACAACCTCCAGGACACTATGTCTCCTCAGCCAGCCGCAGTCTGTTGCAACAAGCCATGTTCCTTTGGAGCACAGCTGGAAAGAGGCACCTTGCATGAACTTCTTGGTATGAACACGAGTGCCGGGAACGTGCCACTTGTAATCCCCCGGCACCATCAAACCTATACTTTTCTCAGAATTATTTAACCTGGGAATTAAAGAGTGTGACAAATTCCCGCCTGAAGTACAGGAGAATGCTCTTGTTTCTTCCCTGGCTCTGCAGCTCTACCTGATGGTTTGTTTCTCTGGGAGTGTGGGGACGACTCTACTGACTGGCTCTTTAGACAGAAGAGCAAGGATGCTCTGTGCGATCCATACCCCTCTCCTGCCATCTAGAGGCATCAGCCCTGCAGCTATTTATGAAATCACCACTGGTCCCATGCTGGATGTGTCCCCACAGCCCTCCGAGCCTGGGGTGTGGGTCAGCAGTGGGGAATGGAGCTCCTTGCTCCTGCTCGGGTGAGTCTACAGAGGCCCAGAGGAGGCAGAGGGGTTCAGCTGGGCTGGGAGGGGGATTTTGGTGAGTTGCCAGCTAGCCTCTCTTCGCGAGGGTAGCCCGCTCAGCTTCCAGGAGCAAGTGGCTCTCCCAGGAGTCCTCACCCTCCACCTCCCAGCTGGGCAGCAGCAGACATAGAGGCACAGCCAGCTCCGCCATTGCAAGGTCTCCACGCCGAGGTAACCACGGTCAGGAGGGGGCTGCCCTACCCTGCGGAGGAGCCACACAGCTGCTTCCCATGGCAGCGACTGCCTCTACTCCTTGCTCAGCCTTTCACTTCAGTACCGGGCAGCGTTGCTGGCGAGATGCCCGCATGACCCTCTTGGTTTGCCCGTTTCTGCTATCCTTTCTGAAGAGCCCTGCCTTGCTTGGACAACAGAGATGGCCAGAGCTCCCCAGGGCCTAATGTCTCAGGCTTTCCTCAGGCAAGAGACCCGCCCCAAAACACCGCAAAACTCATCTGCTGAGCCAAAGGAGCCAAAGTTTATTCACTGGGTCCAGAGCAACGAGGGTCATTGCAATGGGGAATACAGTCCGTGCAGTGGTACCGAGCCCGTCTGAGCAGTGCTGCGCTGGGTCTGTGCTTGGAGCCCCCGTGCCTCCATCCCCCAGGCTGCCTCCCAGGCTCCACAACTCCAGGCCTCCTTGCCAGCAGTGCATTATAGAGTGGTCTCCACTGCAGTGTCCCCAGGCACGTGGCTCCTCTCCTTGCTCACCGCTTTCTCTTCAAACACTCGGCGGAGGGCAACTTGTGCAGAGCCCTGGAACTGGTGCTGCCGGCAGCTCCCCACCAGGAAGTAAATTAATGGGTTGATGCTGCTGTTCAGTGATGCCAGCAGGTAAGAAATATGATGGTAAAATGGGTTTAAATAAATAGGATCAAGGAAAATCAGTGCACTGAAAGGAAATCCAACGATGAACAAGAAGATCACACTGAGCAGGACAGCAACATAGAGTTTCCCTGGGTGTCGTCTCCGTGAGCCACACTGGAGTCTGATGAACAATGAGAGGTTGGAATAAAGCAAAAATGAGAAAATTCATGGTGCTTAAACCTTGTAATAATTGTTCACAGTTTATATTCAAATTACAACAAATCATAGCCAAAGTAACAAAAAGTCTTCTGAGAGCCCAGAGCACCCCACACATGATGCCTGACAAGTGCTTTGGGCGGCGACACCAGTACCAGATCGGGAACAGAACAGACAGGCACTCCTCCATGTTCATTGCTGTCAGGAGATACATGCTGGCAAAATACGAAAACAGAAACAGAAGTGTCAGGATATAACGGGCCAAGTGATGTTGAAATGAGAAAATACAATAGACTGTTGAAATAATGTAAAATATTAAGTTCAACAAGAAGAAACAGGAGCAGAGAGAAGTCAGTGATGGCCAGGTTCAGGATGTAGACAGTGAAGGGTTTCTTCTTCATGTGGAAGCCCAGGAACCACACGACCACCATATTCCCCATAAGTCCGCACAGGCAAATACCAATACAGACACCTGAAATTATCAAAATGCCGTGGTCTTTTAGCACGCACTTTTAGCACGCACCAAGATTTGTTAACTGCCTGAGAGTCCACGTATCCAGAAGTCATGTAGTTCAGAGAGAGGTCTGTTGTGTTGGTCTCCACCATGGCGAATGACCCTGCTCTGGGTGGCTGCCTTCTCCCTCTCCCACTGCCTCCTAGGAGAGATGAGGAGGGAAAGATGCCAGGAAAGACCCCGTCCCTGCCATGCCCAGGACAGGCTCCCCCCCCCTCCAGCCCTGTCCCTGGCCAGGAGGCATATCCCACATGCCCATCCCTGGCCTCCTACCTCCTAGTGCTCCTGGGAACAATGCTGCTGCTGGAGCTCCAGCACATGGGGCCTCCAGGCTTGCCAGGAGAAAGGGTCTGGTGACGGCTGCTGCGGCCACCCCACTCTGCATTGGTGTCATCCCTCAGACCTGAAGAGCAGATTTTCCCACAGATCAGATCCCGTGGACTTCCCTCACACTCTCATCACATCAGTCACAGCTTCCCTTCACATGTCCCATGGACAGCGATCTCGTCATTAGAGTTGGCCATGTCACTCCCTTCCTCTCCTCCCACCGTCCTCCAGCTTTGTCCCACCATGGGAGGGGTTTCTGGCTTTCACTGCGTGTACCTGGTGGTCCAAGACTTCCCCCTGCTCTCCCTGGGGGCACTTTGCCCCCATACAGAGGCTTTGCCATAATGTGTGGCAAAACCTGGAACCTATCGCAAGTAACTTAGCTATAGCCGCAAAACCATAGGAGACAACCCCTGCAGAGCCAAGGGCAAGTGAGATCTTCTGCTTGGAGGTGAAGGAAGGGAGAGGAGCACTGTGCCAATAAGGGATGATGCTGGCTGGATGGTTCACCTACAACGTGGGAGGTATGTGAAGGGCGTATTGTCCCAGACCAGGAAGCTTTGGGGACAGTTCTGCAGCGTAACGTGCTCTCCTGTTACTTTCCAGCAGAACGACTTGAATGCATGGGGAAAGCTCCGTCTGTCAACACAGGAGGGTACATAAATCATTCCCAGGGATGGAGGACGGCAGAAAGGTGAGAGTGACGAGCCAGGGACCCTCAACAGTGGGAAATCACTGATGTGCAGACGTGCAACAGCGTGAGGGCTTTGCTCAGCGCCTCTAATGACATGTAAAGTGGTGCTCAAAGACCTCGCAACTTTCTTCTGGGAGACATTGCCATCAGACAGAGGCTTTGCTTTAATCTCTCAAAGCATGGAACATAATACTCAGGAGAAATTTGATGCTAAAAAGCCATAGAAGGAATCAATAAAGGGAAATGTTTTTCACAGTGGAGGTGAAGAAAGAAAAACACAAGCTGTCATTGTAGGACAATGATGAGCTGATTTTTATAGGCCCAAAACTGTGGGAAAGGGCAATAAAGGGACTTAGTCTCACGAAGCATGAGTGAACAAGATAGCACACTGAACTCTCCATGTGAGGCACTCTGATTCTCTCTTCCAGGGTCCTGAAGGTAACAGCAGGCCTTATTTGCCCCGATCTCACCCATTCATCCCCTGCCCATGGGACCAGGGGCTCCAGTTAGGGCCAGGCCTGAGCAACCAGGCTTTGCCTGAGCTATGCAGGAGTTGCACCTGTCTGAGGACCTGTCTCCATCCCCCTCTCATGGATGGACCTTGTGCCTATGCTCTAGACTTATTTCAAGTCTATCTCTGGCTCCGACTCCTGAAGCTCTGGGCTGGACCCCCTGGAGAAACTGTGGACCTTGTTCATTATCGTGTGTTCAGCACATGAAATGAAAGGACATCCTTGGAGGACGTCAGTCTTGAGAATGACAAGCACAGGTAATAACTCCCAAGAAGAGGTATTCAGAAGATGGAAAGCACATGAAAGAGGGAGAGAACATAAGCAGTGAAAAAGCCAGTCCCTGCGATGCTAAAGGATGAGATTGTGCAACAGGAACCACTTGCAGATAAAAGCACATTTGCAGCACTATGTACCCCACAAAATGTAATCTCAGGGAGGCACATGCATGTCGGGGATGTGATTAGCAGCAGAGGGCAAAGCCTTCGTGCTGTTCTATTATCTGAACACTGGTGATTTCTCACGGCAGGTTGAGACAAGGCCAGTGCTCTGCCTCATTGCCCGATGTTGAGGGGACTCTGTTGGCATCCCAGGTGCAGGGAATGGGTGTATGATGAGGCCTGGGGGGGGCAGAGGGACAGGCGTGACCAGGTGTGGCTCTGCACCAGAAGAATGATGGGAAGAAGGAGGGAGCTTTAAGGCCATGGAACTGTCAGGGACTTCTGAGGGGTTTCTGCTGGCTCATCCCCATCGTTGATGGCCCCTGACGCATCTCACTCATTCTCATCTTTCTGCCTTCCATTTGCCCTGCCAAATCTCTTCCGCACCATCCCCCTGGTGATGCAGGCTGTAAGGCTAGCGAAGGAACAGAAGAGAGCTAGAGGAAGTCTTCCACCATGCACAGCAAAACCCAGGAGACCTCCAGCAAGCTGAAGCTGGAGGATGGGGGTGTAGAGATCCTGACCAGAAGACCATTATAAATCATGGAGTTAGTGATCCACAAAACTCTCAACCTGAATAGTCCCAGGCCTGTGCTGTGCCGTGCTGTGCATCTCCTTTGGCCGTGGGATAAACCTCATTGGTTGAGGATAAGGGAGGAGCCTGCGGGCAGCTCCCACTGGGTGCTGGTGATTACACCATCTGCATGTCTTTGCCTTTATCTAAGGCTGCTGCAACGGCTCTCACGTGAACATCTTTTTTGCTTGACAGTAGAATGAGTTGTTTTCTTTTTTAAGAAAATCCCATAATAGCTCCAACGACCGTAATGGGGTAACTTTTCCATGGACAGGTTCCCTGATCAGAGGTCTGTTTGATGCTGCAAGACCTGGAGTTCCCAGCACCTGAAGGGACATAAGATTATTTGTGCTATACTCTCCTTCTTCATAGTTTTAGATCCAGAAAATGGCATTTAAAATGATACTATATGGAGTCTGAGTGCTTTTCTTAAAGGGATCATAACAGATCCTGCTCCCCAGGCATGAGGGATAAGGCCAAAGCAGAGTGGGTAGCCCTGGCAGCCATCGCCATCCTCTTTCTCCTGGCAAGCCTGGCCTCGTGGAAGCCCCGTGTGCTGGGGCTCCTGTGGCAGCACTGTTCCCAGGAGCACCAGGAGGTAAGAGGCTGGGGATGGGCAGGTGGGAGATGCTTCCTGGCCAGGGACAGAACTGGGGGGGTGGGAGCCTGTCCTGGGCACGGCAGGGTATGGGGTCCTTCCTGGTGCAGCCTGGGGACGGCATGGGGTTGTGGGGAAAAATGGTGAGTGGTGGGAATGTCGATGCCCCTAATTTCCTTCTCCTTCCTCGTCTCTCCTAGGAGGTGGTGGGAGAGGGAGAAGGTGGCCACCAGAGCAGGGTTCATTCGCCATGGTGGAGACGAGTGGGTAGCCCTGCCAGCCATCGCCATCCTCTTTCTCCTGGCAAGCCTGGCCTCGTGGAAGCCCCGTGTGCTGGGGCTCCTGTGGCAGCACTGTTCCCAGGAGCACCAGGAGGTAAGAGGCTGGGGATGGGCAGGTGGGAGATGCTTCCTGGCCAGGGACAGAACTGGGGGGGTGGGAGCCTGTCCTGGGCACGGCAGGGTGTGGGGTCCTTCCTGGTGCAGCCTGGGGACAGCATGGGGTTGTGGGAAAAATGGCGAGTGGTGGGAATGTCGATGCCCCTAATCTCCTGCTCCTTCCTCGTCTCTCCTAGGAGGTGGTGAGAGAGGGAGAAGGTGGCCACCCAGAGCAGGGTCATTCGCCATGGTGGAGACCATCACAACAGACCTCTCTCTGAACTACATGAATTCTGGATATGTGGACTATGGGGGAAATATTGAATATGAATGCTCAAGACAACCTTACGGATTGATGGTCTTTGCGTGTGTCTGTATGGGGATTTCTCTCTGTGGACTTGTGGGGAATGGGGTAGTCATGTGGTTCCTGGGCTTCCACATGAAGCAGAACCCTTTCACTGTCTACATCCTAAATCTAGCTGTTGCTGACTTCTCTCTGCTCCTCCTGTTTTTTCTGCTCATACTGGCATTTTTGAGCTTAACAGCAATTTGTTCTTATTTGTATAATTTTATTTCTTTCTACATAGATTTTGTATCAGTAGTTGAATTTCTGTGCCACTTTTTTGACCTTAGCAGCTTGGGTCTCCTGGCAGCAATCAGCGTGGAGCGATGTCTCTCTGTCCTCTTCCCAATCTGGTATCGCTGCCACCGCCCAAAGCACTTATCAGGTGTTGTGAGCGGGATGCTCTGGGCTCTTGCTGGATTTTTTGTTTCCTCAATGTATCTTAGCTTTAACTTTGCTGAAAGCTATGAAACAGCATTTTCAGGTGTAGCCATTGCAATTGCCATTATTTTGTCATCAATTATGTTAATTTCCAACCTGTCCCTGTTCATCAAACTCCAATGTGGCTTACAGAGACGACGCCTGGGGAAACTCTATGTTGCTGTCCTTCTCAACGTGATCTTCTTTTTTGCCCTTGGTATTCCTTTCAGTGTAGAGGTTTTCCTCAGCCTTCCAAGTTCACACGAATTGTTTCCTGAAAATACATCTTTTCTGCTGGCTTTGCTGAACTGCAGCGTCAATCCAGTCATTTACTTTCTGGTGGGGAGCTGCCGGCAGTGCCAGTTCCGAAGCTCTGTGAAAGTCGCCCTCCGACGAGTGTTTGAAGAGAAAGCGGTGAGCAAGGAGAGGAGCCATGTGCCTGAAGACACTGTGGTGGAGACCACTCTATAGGGCACTGAAGAGTATCTCCAGAGTGCTAAATCCTCATGTGTAGCTGGGTGAGTCACACAGGGGCTGGTCCTGTTCTCTCTGGAATCACTGAGGAAAGTGTTATTCACCCAAAGAGCAAGCACAGCTGTGAAATACCAGACTAACAGCTGGAATTATCTGTTCTAAAGTAAACTTGGCTTTTCTGTCCTTTTCCACCCCACACTGACTTGAAGGTTCTTTCCGTGTCGTAAATAAAAAATTATTTACTTGGTCCAGTCCTCCTTTTCTGTCTTCATTTTCCATCTTCATTTTCCCCTTTATTTATTATGATTTGCCTTATACTTAGTGCTGCCTTTGACAGTAATTCAAGTGTTATTTCCTCTACCACACACTGTGCAATGACTATTCCCCGTTCTTCTCAGCCCCCTTCTTTTTGTCAGGAACTTCCCATAAAACTGGTGACACAGATATTGCTGCTCTACTGCAAAGCACAGCCAGGATGGAAACATATCCTAAGGAAGCTCTGGAATAAGCATAATGGACTGAGATAACAAGATGCATTTTAAGATGGAGAAAATCATATTGCCCAATATCCATGAAATTAATCAATTAAAACCAGAGAACAATAAAACCAAAACAATTAAGTAGGTGTTAATATTCATAGAATTACCAGGACAGAAACAATCTATATAAAATAAGAATATCTGTCAGTAAAAAAGGATGTTTTCTGTACTGCTTATCTTCTTCCCATTAGTCATTTCCTCTACTCAGAGAAGATTAGAAGTCATGAGCGTCGCTGAGTGCCCTAAAACTTGGTCTGTGTTCAGAAGAAATTGGACTTCATGAGCTCATTCCTCCTTTGGTCTGAGGTGATACACAGACAGCCTCCTTGTGAAAGGTCCCAAGAGATCCCAAGGGGACAAATTCCACCCATGGTACAGCTGGGAAATATTAGACTTCCAAGTGACTGGTTGTAAATCAGAAAACATTTGCACGGAAATTGTGGGGAAAATCGCCAGTGAAAAGCCACTGAAATTGTGGAGTCAATTTGCCTTAACCCCATGTCTGACTCCCTAGAGTACCTAGTTCAGGCCCAGGCGCTGAGAGGAAGGACTATTATTTTTAAAATACTAATAACACCTTAGCTTATTGTTTTTACAGGTCTGGTTCCCACCCATTCCGTTTCTGTATCTTGCACCAGAAGCCCCCTTGGTCACGGTTTCACCCTCTGTTTTTCCCACACACATTGGGATGAGGCAGCTCCAAGCTGGGACCTGGACATGGACAGACATGACCGGGAAAGTACAGACCTGGGCATGGGGAATTTCCTATTTTCTTTTGCCTCTTAAAGGATGGGAGAGAAAGGGGAGAAATGGGGAGGGAAACACCAGTGAGGAAAGCTTTGTAATGAGTCCTTTCCTCTGACAGAGATGGGTTTGAGGTACAAAGATTGATGGTGGACCCTCAGAACGTGACAGAAGTCCTTATTTCTCTTTAAAACTGGTAGAGAAATGTGTCCCTAGTTCCCCTTTGCACAGGAGATCTTTTACCAATTATCACCACAGGCAAAACAGACTTGACTTGGGGAAAATTAATTTACTGGCAATTAAAATAGATTTGGGTAGTGAGAGACAATTAAAATACGACCTTCCCCGCTCCACCCCAGCTCAGCTTCACTCCTTCCCTCCAGACTCCTCTACACCCAAGAAGCACAGGGGTGCCTGGCGGTTGGTACATCGTGGTTTCTCCTTACTGCTCCTTCTCTCTCTCGCTTTCCCTCTGCTCCAGAGTGGGTCCCCCTCAGGCGGCAGCTCCTGTCAGGCAACACCCATCTGCTTCGGGGTGGCACGCGCGCCCCTGTCCCCTTCTTTACCCTCACTGTTCTCCTCGCTGTTCCTCACTCTTTTTCCCTCACTGGTGTTTTCTGCCCGTTCTCAAACACGTTTTCACATCGGTGCCACAGGCTCACCTGAAGGGCTCAGCTGTGGCCTGCAGCGTGGCCGCCATGGAACCGCCTGGAACCGGCTGTGCTCAGCACAGGTAGGCCCCTCGGCTCCCCTCACAGTGCGGCCCCTCCGCTCCCTCACAGGGCGGCCCCTCTGCTCCCTCACAGGGCATCCCCTCCTCTCCCTCACAGTGCGACCCCTCCTCTCCCTCACAGTTCGACCCCTCCTCTCCCTCACAGAGCGACCCCTCCTCTCCCTCACAGTTCGACCCCTCCTCTCCCTCACAGGACATCCCCTACACTC